ATTTGTTACAAGGGTTTTGTTTTTCTTTCTTAGTCAATAGGAGGGGAGAAGGTGAATTTTTGGTAAATGAGTAATGAGATTAATGAGCAACGAGGCATTAGATGGAAGATTTAATTTTTTAAATTAAATAAAAATTTTTAAGAGAGGTTTTTAAAATGGGCTTTAATAACTTTCCCTGAATAAAGTATATTAGATTTAAAAAATGTATTTTGTGATCTTCCATAGTGGTTGCTCAAAGGCTTTTTCTTTTTGGCAGTGCTGGGATGGGGATCCTTCTTGGTTATTAGTGTTGTTCTTGATAGGGGAGGTTGCTGGATAGTTGTGTTCTAGTTGTAGTGTTACTATATTATTTATAACAATAATCTTTTTTTTTTTTTGGTGAGGCAATTGAGGTTAGGTGACTTGCCTAGGGTCGCACAGCTAGTAAGTGTCAAGTGTCTGAGACTGGATTTGAACTCGGGTCCTCCTGACTCCAAGCTCTATCCATTGCACCACCTAGCTGCCCCAACAATAATCCTGTAAGATAGTACAACTCAAGTCCTAAACAACTGACTTAATAATGAGCTGTAGGAAGATCATAATTTGGAGACTATATACATGGGAAACATATGCAGAATGACAAACTAATACAAATTAACATAGCATAGGTATGGCATGGAGTGTGAACATCCCAATCCCCTAACTCTTCTCTTTGATCTCTGGACTAGTTTGTTCACCTCAACCCACATTCACACTGGCAGATCAGGGTCCTACAGTTTACTTCCCTAGGGTAACTTCCCAACAACATGCCTACAACTCATAGCTGTAACTCGAGTCTCACCAGTGTGTTCCCAACTTAAATAAATCCACCAAGATGACAATATTAACTCTCTTTATCTTAAAATTTGAATTTTAAATTAACATTTACTAACAGAATGCAAAACAAGAATAATCGTAACATAAAAGCTCATCCATAAATGTGGGTAATACTATCCCACAAATGCACACAAAGTCTGTGGGGAAAAGTGGGAACAAATTCAGAGAAACCTAGTAGGGAGGTACATGGGTAGGGAAATCCATGGCAAATCACAACTCTTGACTACAGACCTTGATATCTTTGATATTTTTAGAAAATTGTTTGCTCCAAAGAGTGACAAGCTAGAAGAGACCACTGATGAGGTTTGGGGTTGCTAGGAACCCCAAAATGTACAGGGTGGCATTGACCTCGAAAGAATTCACGCACTCAAACCTTCTTCCACTGAAAGTAGCAAGGTTTATTATAGTCAATAGGAACGGGCTAGATTCTTAGGGAATCTGCAAGTTGTTGACAGTGAGACTGATACTTATATACAGAAGAGGGACAGTGAAAAGATCTGGATGGGATTAAGGAGTGGTAAATACCCTGGGGTGGGCCAGGTGCAATAGTGAAAGGAGTATTAAGTAGTATGGAGTGGGTCAAGAGGACTGTGAAAGGACTGTCAAGTATTTAGGTGGACTGGGGTGGGCCAGATGCTTTGAGCTAGATGCCAGTGATCTGGGCTGCTGAAATGTGTGGGAAAATTTAGGGACTGGGTTGCTTACAAGACATGGTCTTTTCCTTTTAGGGGTCTAGGGTCCATCACCCCATCACCACTTGTCTTCTGGATGCTCTACTTGAACTGATTTTGGGCTGTGCTTCAAGCAAGTATTAGGCTTCACTAGCAAAAGCAGTCCTCCTAAGCCTAGAAACTGCAAAGTTACTCAGGTTGGCTGTCTTGCTGGGTTCTGAGGAGTTTCCTATTCTCCCCCAGGTGACAGTGATAGGCAAGTCAAACAAATCTTTCCTTATCCTAAACAAATGAGGAGTCTTCTTCTTCCAATCAGCTCTCAGTAACAAAGTTTTTCCACCAATCAGCTAAGCTCATGGCAACAAAAGCATGATCTATCTCCCTCCATTCCAGCCAGCAGGAGAATGCAATTCAGATTCGAAACTTTCTAAAGCTCTCAGTAAGACAAAGGGGCATTCTCACTTTCAAGCATGGACTCAGTTTAGCTTGGTTTTCTTCCAGGAGCAGAATTCTCATTCCTTTTCCTCTGATTCACTTCCCTCTGCTTCTCTCTTCTGTACTCTATATTCAGTTGCTGACTGACTCCCATCTCAAAGTAAGGTTCTCTTGTGAAGCTGATGAGGAATGCATGACTCTTTGCCCTTTTTCCCCAAATGAATTTAGATGCCTACTTCTTGAGGGGGGAGGATGAGATATTCAGAGAGAATGTTCTATGAAAGAAAGTAGTTCTCTCAAGTAATAGTTAAAGCCACTTTAGCACATAATGAGATTCAAGTAGGCTGGTCAATGAAATACTCTCCACCTAGGGCCAGTGGGCTGAACAATGGAATAATGATGTGCCTAGACATACTTGAAACCCTGAACTACCAGCCTCCTGGCCTATGTGTCCCTGGTTACCTCACCTTTCTGTCCATCTTTCTGTCTCTGATTACCCCTTCTCCCCAATCACAGCAGGTTTTCCTCTATCTATCCCTAGCTTTTCCTGGCTAGTCACTGAAGCAGCCATCTCCCTTAGGGGGCCCTCTCCCTTGGGGGGCTGTCTCTCTTAAGGAGCTGCTGTCTATATTAAGGAGTGGCTATCTCCCTTAAGAAGGAGCCTGCTTACCTCAACATTTTGGGGTGTCCCTGAACCTCAACAAAATGACTCACCTCTATCTTAAAGTGATAAAATGAAATTCAAATTTCTGTCAGACTTGATATAAAGAGGAAATATATAATTATCCCATAATTACCAAAAAGTTTTAGTTATCAGTTTCCCTATTATTAACTTCAAAATCCTCACAAATCAAGGAATAATGCATTAGCTTCCTATTTGTTTTTAAACTAGGTTACTTATTAGGCAATAGATCAAGGGTCTTTCATAAACATAGTATCCCTGACCTTAAGCAAGACATTTGATGACATCTTTTATTATATCCTTATGGAAAATATGGAAAGATGGGCTGGATAGAACTGGTAGAATGACCAGACTGCTTTTCTTTGTATTCCCAGTGCTTAGCACAGGGAGCACTTAATACTTGCTCTTAATAAATAATTATTATAAATAGTAATATAATTATTATTTATTATATATATTCTATAATATAAACAGCACTTAATAAATGCTTAATGATGAAAATTAATGGACTGATGTCAACCTGAGAGGATTGAAGTTCAATTCGTAATTCTGAATTCCCTCAATTTGACTCATTTCTTACCTAGCCTTAATCACTGAATGAGTATCGCCTCAGTCAAACTGATACTTGCTGAAGACTTTAACTTTAAAAGGCCAATGTCTTCCACCGCATCTGGGGGCCATCTCCAGTCATACTTATGTGTATCTGACCACTGGACCCAGATGGCTCTGGAGGAGAAAGTAAGGCAGGTGACTTTGTACAGTCCTCCCTCACTTAAATGCAATTCACTTGCAAGTCATGGCATCACCTCCATGATATCATGGTCCTTTTCGAGAACAGGACAAGCAACAACTGGGGAATAGCTGTTGGTCTCATAAATTTGAATCAGTTCCTTGAAAAACTAGCTGCAAAGATTCTCCCCCCCACCCCACAATTACCTGTTTCCCGTCTATTTTTTACATTAGATTTGTCTGCACAAAACCTTTAAAAATTTATATAATCAAAATTGTCCATTCTTTCTTACATGACCCTTTTTGTTATTTAGTTAGTCATGAACTCTTCCCCTATCCTTGGATATGAAAAGTAACTTTTCTTGGAAACAAAAGCCCATATTTTAAAAACCTATTATTTGACTGCAAGACACAAGATTCTACAGTATCCATGGAATTAAAAATGAGCATAATACAGGGGAGTGGCTATGGAGGATAGGAGCTGGATATAACAGATAACAAATAAAAGAAACACTGGTGCTGGGCATTTTCTCTTGCCGTCCCCCCATGTCTGAAATGCTCTCTCCTTCCTCATCTCCAACTATTCCCTTACTTTAACTCTCAACTAAAACCTCATTTTCTACAGGAACGCTTTCCAACTCCTCTTAATTCCGGTGCCTTTCCTTTGTTAGTTATTTCCTATTTTTCTTATTTGTAGCGTGTTGTACATACTTGTTTACCTGTCTCACCCATTAGACCCTGAGCTTCTTGAGGGCTGGGAATGCCTTTTTTTTGGTATTCCAAGCACTTAGCACTGTGCCTGGCACATAGTAGGTGCTAAATAAATGTTTATTGACTGAAACTGTAATAAAAGACTCACCAAAGAACTAAATGATTGAAAAACCCAGGCAATGGTGAAGGATTAGATGTGAATGGCCTAAGAACTATTCAGTCCTGGGGCAACTAGGTGGCTGGCTGGAGAGAGTGCTAGACCCAGAGTCAGAAGTCCCGAGTTCAAACTAGGCTTTAGACACTTACCAGCTGTGGAACTAGGTCGAGGCACTTCGCCTCTGTTTGCCTCAGTTTCCCCATCTGTAAAATGAGGATAATAGCACCTACATCCCAGAGTTTTTGTGAGGATCAAATGAGAAATTAATTGTAAAGTGCTCAGCACTTTGTAAGAGCTACAGAAACGTTAGCTAGTAGTACTATTATTAGTTCACTGGTAAATTTGGTAATGTCAGAAAGAGGCAGGAAAAAAAAGCTCCCGTGTGTTTGGGACCCCTGTGGTTAATTTATGGGGGTACACTGGTCTGTCAAGATGGTCAGGCAGGGATTAATTGCAATCTGCATTATAGGAAGGAACCTCTAATACTACAGACTCTTAAACTGACCGTGAATGTGAAAGGAAGAGGGGGTGGAGGAGAGGAAAAGAGGAAAAAGGAGGGAGGAGAAAGGAGGAAGGAAGGAAGAAGGGTGGGGAAGAAGGAAGAGGAATAAGGGGAGGTGAGGTCTCGAGCCGGCAGCGTCCTAGACCCGCCTTCCCTAATTATCCTCTTACTGGGGCCGCCCCCAGGAGGCTTCGTCCAATCCCGACACAGAGCCGCGGGCCGCGTGTTTCCCACCAGCCACGTGGGAGGCCAGAAGAGCCGTACAGGGCATGCGCAGCAGTGTGGCCACTGGTTCGCAAAATACAGTTTTGACCGGCCGGGGGGGAGTTTTTCCGCAGGTGACTATGTCTACTTTGCGCAGGCTGCGGGAGGCGCCACGACACTTGCTGGTGTGTGAGAAGTCCAACTTCGGCCATGTCAAGTCCCGGCACCGGCAGCACGTGGAGACGCACTACCATAACTACAGGGTGAGTCCCGTCCACGGCAGCTTCCTCTCCCGCCGGCGTGGTCCGCGCCACCCCCAGGGGACATGGGGTAGGGGGGCGGCGCGGCGCTACACTCCGGTGTATCCGGACCTCGCTCCAGCTCCTCACGCCACGCCTTCTCCCCAGCCCCATCCCGTAGTACTACTCCCTTTACCCGACGTGGGCGGGCGCTGGCGGGGGTGGTGGAGGATTGCGCTGAGCATCCTGGGAGTTGTAGTATGCCGCCTCTTCGCTGGCCTAGCGCGCTATCTCTTGAAAAGACTACAATTCCCACAATGCAGCCGGGATGGTACTCGCTTTTGCGATCTCAGTTCTAGACTTCGAAGATCCCTGCGGGGAGATCCGAGAGTCCAACTTTTTCAGGTTACAGATTGAGAAACTGAGGCCCAGGGTGGTCAGGTGTCAGAGGAATAACTTGGACTCAGTCTTCTTAACCCCAGAACAAGTGCCCCGTACCGTGCTGGGAAAAGTCCCAGAAATTGATGGGCATACTCCTGTTATCTCTTCAGTCTGTCAGACTCCCGTTTCCTCCAGAGTTTGGGGCCCCCATAGATGTCACCCCTGGAGTAAGTGGCAGTGAGAAGAAAACTCGCGATGTTAATGTTGCCTTTTCAGATGTTTATTTAGAGCTGTAGCTGGTGGTGCCTAGTGCCGGCTGCCATTTTAAATATCTTTGCATTTGTTTTCTCCTAAAGCTTCCAGCCCCTTACTAGTTTACTCTTCCTACGCTCTCCTCTCCATCCCAACCTTGATTTTGGATACTTTTCTTTTTAAGCCAAAAGACTGTGGTTAACTCCAATTTGGGGGCTACATTTCCAAAAGGAAATGGCTTGAAATCTAAAGGAGGAATTGCATTTGTTAATCAAACTTTGCAGTTGTTAATCAAAGCCAGCCACCCCTGGGGGGGGGGGTGCTTTGTAAGGAATTTTTAAAAATATATTTTTATTTATTTCGTTAAATATTTCTCAATTACATGTAAAAAATTTAACGTCCATTTTAAAAAATTTTGAGTTTCAAATTCTCTGTCCCTCCCTACCCCTTGAAAAGGTAAGCAATATGATATCAATTACACCTGTGAAGAATGGAAGACATTCTTAAATTCGCTTCGCTTTATTAAATATTTGTTAAGACCTTAGTCTTGATAGGCAGTGGGGGAGAGACAAAGATAAATAAAAAGACAAAGCTCTTGCCTTTATGGAGTGTATTAATCAATCAAGAAATATTAATCCCTTGGTATGTATTAGATTCTCTGTTTAATGCAAAGGACACACAAACACACATACACACAACCACACCCCCTTCAAAGAGATTGCATTTTAATGTGAGAGGGAAATATGTACAAAGAAGATATGAAGATACACTTAACTGTTCACCTAATTACCATGATGATAAAAATGTGTTTGCTTCATAAAATTTAGCAACTATTTTGATAGCGTGTACTGATGAGTCGCTCGAGGGAGCAAGCACTGTGAGCTGTCTCTGTTTTACAGGTGTAGAAAGTAATCAAGGTGTGAAGTTTATTACATGACTTATCTAAAGGTTCTTTTAAGTTACTGGTACAGCTGGGAACAAAACTTGGATGATTTCCATATCACTGTCTTCTAAATACTTAATTTCTTCCAGACTGCTTTATTGGAAGTTTGCAGTTTAACTCGAAGTTTTTGGCAAGTAGGGAGTTCTTACTCAAATGGTTAATAAACTTGGGTTTATCAAACACTATGTTTTTGTTTATTTGCTTTTGGGTCTTGTTTATCTTTTTCATTGATCAATTTTTGAATCAGCACTAAGTAGCTCTGACGTTATTGCTTTATCATATTGTTATAAAAATCCCAGACTTAATTCAGAATTCAGTCAGAGGTGAGTGGTAGTGGGTACCAGTATCAGTGAAGACCCCTCAGGACATGACCCCCCCCCTTTTTCTTTTCTTTAGTTGTGTAAGCAGAAATTCCTGAGCTATAGTGTATTCTGTTTATCTCATCCTCTAGCTACATGACCTTGGGTAGTAGACTGAAGTCATAAGGCCCCAAAAGGGGAACCTGTTGGGGTTACTGTACTCCTTTGTTCTCTTCCTTGCTGGCGAAGATTTACTCCAATAGATTGTGCCCCTGAGGCTCAGCCAGTAAGCCAAAGGGAGGGGGTTAGGGTGGGCTATTGTGCTAGGATCTATATAAACCTATTTTGAACAAAGCACTCTTGCACTCTCTGGCTGACGCCATTTTGAGCAACACAGGGGTGGTGGGGTGGGGTGGGGGGGTGTCCTTTCTCAAGAAAGCCAATAAAGCAGCTTTCCTTTTTGCAAATTCTTGTCAAGACTCTGATTCAAATTTGGGTAGGTGGTCTTTTATCCCACAGAGAGGGGAAGCTAGGTGGCGAAGTGGATAGAGCACTGGCCTGGGAGTCAGGAGGACCTGAGTTCAAATGTGACCTCAGATATAATATTCACTAGCTGTGTGACTCTGGGCAAGTCACTTAGTCCCTTAGCCCCAATTACCTCACCAAAAAAAAAAAACCAAAACCAACCAAACAAAAAAAAACAGAATTCAGGCCGAGACTGGGCTCAGTGAATTCCCCAAACAAGAGTTAGCTGGATAATAACGAAATCACAGTTGGGAAGTGTAGGAAGAGATGCCTTTATTGTTAATTCTGGAGAATTGGGTGTGTATGCGTTCCCTCAGGGGAATCACACACTTATACTGGAGCAGAGCAAGTGGTTACATAGGATTACTTGGCTTTAACTCCCAACTTGTCCCAACATTCCTTATGTCCTGTGTAACATCTGTGTTTGCAGTGCAATATCTATTGTTTCTATAGAGTGTGAAAACCAGTCTCCCTTTCATCTTGTTTACATATTTGTGTAAACCAGTAAACCAATAAACCGATCTCCCCCTCATCTTATTGATTCTGTGGGAACCAAACTGTTAGCATTTCTCACAATATAGTTTGAGATTGGGTACTTATAGGTCCCATTCCTTCCTGCTTATTTTTTTCCCAATATAAAGATTATTTTAATTCTTTGAACTTGTATCACCAGTGCTTGCACAGTGCCTGGCACATTGTTGTGCCAGACATCTAATAAATATATTAATAATTAGCACTAATAAGTACTTGTTGATTGATTGCTCTTGAGATTCTTGACCTTGCGTTTATCCAGATAAATTTTGTTATTGTTTTGCTTATTTCTATAAAATGACCCATGGTACTATTTCTGCAAACTAATTCAGTATTATCATTTTGATTATATTGACAACCATGAACATTTAATATCTCTCCAATTATTTGTATTTATTTCAGTAAGTGTTTTTTAAATTCATAAGCCTTCTTTTCCAAAATCAACACATTTGCTGTGTCAGACAATACATATTCCAAGGACCCTTCTTTTATCCCTTTCCTATTTTTTAAAAAGTTATCTATAGCTTGTTTAAATAGTTCAGTTTGAAGTTCCCTCTAGATTGAATGTCGTGTCTACCATCTCCCTGACAGGAGGCAGGAAGCTTCCCATTGTGACATTTACCTGATTCTTATTACCAGCTTAATCAAATATTGGTGAACTAGAAAGATAAAGCCTCAGATAATGTTAGTTTAGGTATTTTACATCTCTTCACATTTTAAATTATTTTATCCGTTTAGTTTTTGTTTTCTTCCTAAAGAATATCAGAGGATTGTGATGTTAAGAGTTCAAATACAGGAGCTCAACTGTTGTGAATGGAGAAAATAAAACAGTTTGTATCCCCTCCCTTTTTTTTTTAAATATACTGTGGTTCTTCCAGTTGTATTCTTAAATGCTTTGGGGATGATCTGGATTAATTGAGTGTCTTGCCAAGCCTTCTGTAAACTTTTCTCCCTCTTTATAGCTTTTTACTATTTTATGAGGTGATGCTGCTTACAACTTTCCACAATGGTCTTCTGTGAAATTTTACTCGGGAGTTAATATTTTAATTGGACATTGCCCTTGACTGACGTATCTGTCTATGTGCCAAGGACATCAAGTATTTATTGATTTTGGGCTTCTTCATTGTGTTGATTTAAGATGGTTAAACTTCTTTAGGAAACAGTGATCATTTATGGTAATGTCTGTTCTTTTATTCATCCCTCTCCCTTCTTTTTAAAACATATGCAACCTATTTAAATAACTCATATTGAAGTTGCCTTGATTTTCTTTCTTCTAATGTGGTATTATAAACTTTACTCTAACAAATCTATGGTCAGACTTGAAAAGCTGACTTTGGAATCAAAACACAGATGGGAAGGGCAGCTTGACTCGACCAATTACATGAATTGGTAGCTTCATACTGGACACAACAGTTTTGTGCATATTGAAGAATCAGTTCTCAAGCTATGTGAAAAGGAAGAGGATGTTAAATGCTTGAAAAAAATGAGCTGTATTACCCAAAAAGGGTGATTGTGAAAATGTCAGTAACTGCTGACTCATGTCTCCTTTCTCATTTCTATAAAAATCTTTATGAGAATATATATTTACATATGTATGTATACATATATACATGTATGTGTATATGTTGTGTATGTGTATATATGTGTGTATATATATACATATATATCAGGTGATATGAGAAGGGAACAGGCAGGATTTTGCAAAAATATTCTATAGAACACCACATGTTTATAGTTGCACAGATTGAAATGTATGGAGAACAAAATTTTGCCTTAAAGATTTTCCTCCCATTGGATGGGCTATTTATAGAGTTGGCCTGTATAGTCCTTTTGTACATACATATTTTGGACATACACAAAGGTTTGATAGTTATCTAGTCCCAGAATTGAATAGGAGGAGGAATGAGCTTAATTATCACTGGACTGTTATATTATCTCCAGCCTTCCTCTGTAACAAAGATCCATTTTTTCTATATTTCCATATACTAGCTATGTGACCCTGGGCGAGTCACTTAAGCTCTGGTTGCCTCATTTTCCTCAGCTCTAAAATGGGGATAATAATAGCTCCTACCTCCCAAAGTTGTTGTGAGGATCAAATGCGATAATTTTTGTAAAGTGCTTAGTATACTGCTGGGCACATGGTAGGGGCTATGTAAATGCTAACTATTATTTATCCTCATCATTACTATTATGTAAAGTAGCAACTTGGTCATCTCATTTGTATATTCAGAATTTTCTTTGCTTTGTATGTAAAACTTATGCCCCTCCTACACCAGCCAGTGATGTTTCTTTTCCCATTTCTCTATTTTGCCCTGTAGAATTTTTGACATTAATGAGATTGGGGGAGCCTACTTGTGGTTTTCTCTGTAGTTTATTAGTTGAGCATCTTTTCTTTGGTCTCAGAATGGAGATGGAGACGTGGGCCATTTAATGATGCTTTATTTTCTTGACATATAAATGAACTGTTTTACAAGGTACCAGAGAAAACAGTTACTCTCTGTTCTAGTGGATTCCTGGAGTGAGAGCCTGACAATACTTTTATTGAGAAAATAGCAACAATATACAAGGTGTCCCAAAAGTCTTAGTGCAGATTTAAGCTTTAATAGCTTAAACCTATGTCTTCTAAACTATATGTAAAGGCTTCCTAATTAAAAAGCTTTTTTGCTTAGTACCATTATTGTATTGTTTGTTGAGGTGCATATCATAAAACAAATCTTTTGTAAATTCTCTCTCCTTGAAATATAAGTAAGTTAATTTTTCTTGTTTAAGAATGTTCCGCTCTCCCCCTGCTGCAATCTGGCTACAACCTACCTTTCCAGTCTTATTTCACACAACTTTCCATCACAACTTTGTGTCTGAGCCAGCTGCTCCCCGAAATCAGTAGTCTATCACTTCCCTCCATATTTTTGCTTCAGCATCCTGGTCTTTCTTCAAGCCTTATTTTGCTTGCTACTCCCTTTGGGAAGCCCTTCTGGTCTCCCCACTTGCTAGTGCTCTCTTTTCTCAAACTGCCATTAGCTTATTATTTTTATTATATTTATTTGTATATGTTGAATTCTTGCAGAAAGTAAGGTCCTTGAGGACAAGAACTGTTCTGTTCTCTGAATACCCAGGGTTGAGCACAGTGCCTTATATGTAGAGGTGTTTTAAAAATGCTGATTTGTTTTGTCCTTATGAACTTGAGTACTACTTGCCATAGAAATAAGATCTTTATTTCCATTACATATTCATATAGGTATCGTTTCTGATTCCTGAATGTGGGATACTATCAAAAGAATTAAAAAATCTTGTCATGGAAATTGGACCATACTATTTGGTGAAGAATTTACCTCTTCATGAATTAATTGCACATGAGTTCATCAATAACTTTGTGAAAAAAGGTAGGAAAATAGTTGTTTTTGTGAAGATTAGTACACTCAGGAACTGTTAATAATCAATACGTAAGTCTCTTTTTCTTCATGTAATATTTGTGTTCCATTTATCCATCAGTAAAGACTTTTCATTCTACGTAACTCCTATTGTGTTTATGAGAAATTCTTCCTTTTCAATAGTCACATAGCACTGAGAAGTGGGTTGTAATAGGAAATGTTTGTATTTTAATTTTTTCCCTTGTTTTATTATGATTTAAGAGTTATCAGCAACACAGACATTTCAGTGTACAATAAAGAGGTTTGTGTAAGAAACTGAACTTAGGATACATAGTTTTGTTTTTTTTTTAAAGTTTATATCCCCTTCTATACTTTTTTTTTCTTTTGTACAGTTTAAAATATTTTATTGATTTTCCTTTTTGGGGTGTTTTTATCACTGCCCACTAACTCTCTCAACCCCTTTCTGTAAGAAAAGCCCTCCCTCGTAACAAGTATGTATAGTCAAAAAAACAAACCACTTTTGGACATATCGGGAATTGCATGTCTTATTTTGAACCTCCCATCCATTACTCTTCTAAGATGTGGTAGGTATGCTTCATCGTCACTCTTTGGAAATCACAATTGATCGTAGCTTTGTTCAGAGTTCTGAAGTTTTTCAAAGGCTGTTTTTTTATTCATCGCTGTGACCATTTTGCAAGTTTTGCTCATTTCATCTTATATCAATTTATTCAAGTGCTCTCGCTTTCTTTGAATTTGTCATATTCATCAGCGGGAGAAGCAATATAGCCTGACCTCTCTCACCATGGAAGTTAGGCAAGTCCAAGGTGTATTGGAGCCTAGACAAGATTGTTCAGTTTTCAGTGTGAGCATTTATACTTGAGGAATCTTAATTGCCATAAGCAGGTTACACTTAAAATTGTGCTTATTTTTTTTTTCTGGGAGAGAGGTTATTAAAGATTTGCCAGCACACCCCTGGGCTAGTCTTACCTTTAAAGGTATTGAAACCATCCTCCAGACTTAGTTGGCTCAGGCTGTTGACCTCACTTCCTCATGACCTAAGTGGCCATAACCTTCTCCATGAGATGGCTGGGAGATGGCTGATGATTGACTGGTGAGAAATGATTGGCAGCTGAGACAAGGGAGCCGTACTCAGCTGAACCAACTTCATGGTGTCTATCCTTGTTGAATGTCCCCCTGCTCTGGATAAGTTAGTCTCCTTTTGGTAACTGTTAAATAGCATACCACCGTAGATGGTCCAGGGGATAGATTGCTGGACTTGGAATCTGGAAGACCAAAGTCCAAATCTGACCTCAGACACTCAATAGCTGTGTGACTCTGGGCAAGTCACTTAACCTCTGTTTGCTTCAGGTTCCTCATCTGTAAAATGAGAAACATAATAGCACCTACCTTCCAGGATTGTTGTGAGGATCAAATAAAATAATATTTGTAAAGTGCTTTGCAAACCTTAAGTTGCTATGTAAGTGCTAGCTTTTAAAAAATAGTTATTGTTATTAGTGTCTCATTTTGTTTCAGTATTGAACCTGAACTGTGAGGGGATAACCAGTCAGGCATAACTCAGAGCATCATCATTTCTTATGATATAATAATATTTCAAGAACTTACCTATTGTGATATGGGTTTTGTTATTTATTTGTATTATTTTCTAGACATCTTGGGTATCTGACCTTTTTCTTTATCAGAAATACTTTCTGTGAAGATTTTCCCTTCAGTTGCTCATGTAAAAGATTGTTCAATTTTATGTAATTAAAAATTTTCCATTTATCTTCTGTAATCTCTTCCATCTCTTCTTTAGTTAAGTTAATCTCATTTGCTTCTCTAATTTGTTTAGTTGATGTTTATGTTTAGATTTTATATCTGTTTGGAGTTTTATTGTGGTATATGGTATAAGATATTAGTCAAAACCCTATTTCTGCTAAAATGCTTTCCACTTTAAACATCAACAAACATGAACATTTCAATCAATCAAAGCGATTAGGAGTGAAGATTGTATATTAAACTGTGAACTTCTATTATATGCTGATATTTTAAAAGTGTATGTTAAATTTAACACAATAGTACAAAAATTGTGCTGCTTGTCTACATTCCTTTCTAAACTTTTTTCTAATCTTTGTATTTTTAATGCTTCATTTGAACTCTTTTCTTTTTTTTACATTGCTGTCACTACCCACCAACACTCCCCCACCACATAGGAGCCCTCTATAAATTGACATATCAAGCATGTCTGGAAAAAAAAAAGCGTGTGTGTGTGTGTGTGTGTGTGTGTGTGTTTTGGACCTCTAGCCTAGAGGTGTCAAACTCAAGAGTGGTGCAGTTGAACCAAATTAAAATGTAATTGGGAAATATTTAACAAAATAAATAAAAATATAGTACAAGATAGATAATGTTAATTTATGGTTTTCTAAGTCACTCCATGCATATATGCCTGCAGGGATCTCTTTGTATTTGAATTTGACACCATTACTCTAGCCTATCACCTCGTTGCCAAGAGGTAGGAAGCATCTTTCATTGTCAATTTCCTAAATTTATGATGAGTTATTATATAAACTGTTCTCCTGGTTCTGCTCATTTCACTCTCTATCAGTTCATACAAGTGTTCCCAGGTTTCTCTGAGTTCATCATATTTGTCATTTGTCATGGCATAATTACATACACCTACCATAACTTGTTCAGCCATTTCCAAATTGATGGGCACTCATTTTCCTTCCAATTAGTAATAACAACAAAAAAGTGCCACTATAGATGTTCTCATATATGTATATGGTTTGTGTGGTGTATTTGTATATCTCTGTGTATATATATAAAGATATATACATGCACACACACACATATATGTAATAATTCGTATAAATATGGGTCCTTTTCCTTTTTCTTTGTCCTTTCAGAAGCGTAGGCCTAAGAGTGGTATCACTGCACTAGCAGTAGTGTAATTTAGTCATTTTGGGGCATAGTTAGTTCCAAATTGCTTTCCCAAATACCTGCATCAGTTTGCAGCTCCACTGTTGGTCTTTGCTGCTAAGAGGTCAAAGAAAGAGGAACAAGACCCATATGTACAAACATTTTTATATCATCTTTTTGTTAAAGGACTAGAAACTCAGGAGGGTACCCATCAGCTGGGGAATGGTTGAATCAATTATGGTTTATGAATGTAATAGAATATTATTACACTGTAGGAAGACAGTTGCAGGGAAACCTGGGAACACTTGTTTGAACTGATGAAGAGTGAAGTGAACAGAACCTGGGGAAGAATTTATTCAGTAACAACAACATTGTTGAGAAAAACAACTAAGAAGGACTTAAGAACTCTCATCAGTTTCAATGACTGACCATCATTTCAGAGGACTGATGATGAAATTGCTTCCTACCTTCTGACAGGGAAGTGTTAGGCTCAAGAAGCTGAATAAGGCATATAGTTTTGGACAGAGCCAATGTGGAAATACACTTTGACAGTGCATATTATGAGGGCTTTTTTCTTTCTTTTAAAAACAATTTCTATATAGCAGTGAGAATTGTGGTAGGGATAGGGTAGCCACAAAAAATAAGAGAGAGTCATTGAAACTTTTTTTTTTTAATGCGAAGAAGAGAACAGAAGGAAAGCCATAAAGTTGTAATCAACAGCATTTATTAAGTGTTTACTATGTGCCAGGCATTGAAGAAAGGCCAAAATAGTCTTTACCCTCTAGGAATTTACATTTCATTGGGGAAGACAACATGTAAATAGTTAGATATGTACAAGATATAGACAGAGTAAATGGAAGATAACCTTAGAAGGGGAGGCTGTAGCAACTGAGGAGACCAGAAAAGGCCCCCTGCAGAAAGGGGTGTTTGAGCTCAATCTTGAAGGAGGTTGGATCTTCTGAGAGGTAAAAGTGAAGAGCAGAGCTTTCCCGGCATGAGGGACAAGTACATAGGTGCAGAAATAGAAGATGAAAAGTTGTGTTTGAGGTTCAGCAAGTAGGCCAGAGTGGCTGGATCAGAGAATTCTTGGAGGGAAGTAAAATGTGAGAACACTTGAATGATAGGAAGGGGCCAGGTTGTGGAGAGCTTTATTTGATCCTGGAATTGAATAGGGAGCCAGTGGAGTTTTTTGAATTAGGGAGGTGGCATGGTTGGATCTATACTTCCAAGAAAATCACTTTGGCAGCTCTCAGGTATTTGGCTGATATGGCTTCTTGGCCTTTTGGGATTATTTTTAGTTACTGCTTGGGTAAGTCAACATTCCTTTGTCTATTTTCCATTTTTTTGGAGTTGACTGTTTTAATAGATTAGATTGGAACTGCCATAATTTCACCATAATTTTCTCATTTTTATCCTTCATTCTGATTTTGGTTTTAATGTTTTATGATGTTCAATACTTGAAACATTCAGCACTTTCTGACTGTGTTCTTGGAGAAAACATTCCTAATATGGATTAGTCAGAAGCTTCATGCCTTTGTAAGTCTTTGGCTTCTCTTATTTCTTAATCACAAACCATGTCCAACACATTGCACCATCTTTCTTAGGTGCCCGCTGTAATGTTGAAGTCACTCAGTATCCAGGTAGAAGTTGACTTGAGTTTTTAAGATCTTGTCAGGTTCTTCAAAACTTATCTTTACTTCTTCATCCTCTGTCATGAATATTGATATATAAGCTGTAATTTTTTCATAGTAATCTGTTTGCCTTTGCTTTTAAAAAAAAAGGTTTACTGATGCCTTTTCTTTTTTATCTACTTACAAATATACCTCTCTGGAGCAAGCCTTCTCAAGGAACAAAGATTCTTAAAAATTAGCAAATCAAAATGGCATACTGATCATGCTTGACACCAAAACAACATTCCACACTCATAGTCTTCCCACCCCTTCAGCCCCAAAAGGATGGTGCATTTTCTCATCTCTTCTCCCAGGCCAAGCTTTTCCCTCTGTTTCTTGTTGCCTTTGGTTATATAGTGAAATCAACTCCTCCAAGTCCATTTTTTTCCCTTTGAGAAGAATCCATTTGGCTACAACTTGATTACAACTTCTGGTTTCATTTATCACTATAAATGAATGATGTCAGCATGAAACTGGTTCAGTTCATCTTGTAGAATTTCTCCTAATTGATCTCTGGAAAGATGACACATTAAAAGTGCCAACAATTAAATTAATTTTGTAAGCAGTCTGAGGACTGTGTTTCTCAGTGTCCTATGCCCCCAATTTTTGTCATTCCATTATTGTCACCATAGAACTATAAGGAGTCCACATGGGACGTACTGAATGGCTTTTGTGTGCTGAGCTGTTTCAGGGGTTGCCATTTCCATAAAATTCATTACCTGATGGTTTACCTTCTACTGTTGAGCCTTTCCATACTTAGCTAGCTTGTTCACTAGAAAACATACAGAGTCTTCATTTATAAAGACAAATGAAGATAAATGATATTGCTGTCTTTGTTTTCAAATACACAGCTACTCTGTGGCTGAAAAAATCAGTGCACAATCAATAGTCCCTACTTTGCCTTTTCTGAAGGCTGTACTGTGGCTTATGTCTGCAGCTGCTGTTTGCAGAGCATGGTATCTTTGTGGCCCTTTTCCTCCTAACACTTAGACTTTGTGGTGTAGCCTCTGCTCAAAATCTTTGCTCAAGAAAAACTGTCTCAGGCTTGACAAATTTGCTTTGGACCCAAGGACCAGTCTAGACCTTTAGGAGCCAGCTTCCAAGAAAAGATCAGCAAAAGGCCGGTAGGGTTTTGGGGAAAGACTCAGCACGTTGCCATGCGGAATTTGATCCTACCTCAGGTCCAAACTCAAATTAAAGTCAGTAGAAATCTTGAAGTCTTTCTTCAGAAAAGACTTTAAAAAAGCGGAACACAATTTATTTGGGTGTTTCCTGAATTGTGTGTTGGGGATGGGGAGGGCCAGCACTCTGCCTTGGGAGCAAATTGATCTTTCTTCAGTAAGTCTTTTTCCATTTAAATGTGCACAGAATAATGCTCAAGATTCATCTGTTGAAGATGCAGTCACATCTTAGAAGCCTGAAGATTCCCTAAGCAAATCCCAGCTTCTGTATGGACTGACTGCTGTTTTGTGAACTTCTTTTTACCTTACTGTATTAGTAAGAGATGAATGAGCACAAGCAAGAAAAACTCTTATTGATTGAACTGTTTGCACTAGGAGTTCTGGGTGCCTGAGTTGGCCTAAGGCTTTGGATTTGTGTAGCAGTGGGTTGATGGTTCTGTTCCAGTTGTAACCCAATAGCCTTTGGTTATATAACTTGTTTGCAATTTTATTTTCATGGTTTAAGGTGTTCTGCTAGAAGTTATGCCTTGCCAGCTTACTCTGCAATAGCTGCCTGAGTAATTACTTAGCCATTTCACTTGCCCTGTCCAGTGAAGTTATACTATGATGAGCACCATCACAGTGGTAGTAGACTAGCAACATACGTAATTCTAGAAAGATTTTTTAAAATTAAGAACTTGACAAACATAAAAAAATTCAGTATACCGAGTAGAATGGAAAGAGAAATATGAAATCACAAATCTCTATTATGTATAGCTTACTTTAAAAAAACCTACATAATAATTTGATATGTTACTTTCAAAGCTATCATATGTACCTCTTTTTCCATCTGAATGGTCGTCTTTGCATTTTTCAAAATGTTTCAATGATATTCTTTTTCTTTCTTTTTTTAAAATCAAGCTAATTTTAGAAATAACTGTTTAAAAAATTCAAGCATGGGTATAACTATAATAGAACCCATTATAGTACTGACTACCCCCCAACAAGAGTAAGCCTGGTATTTTACACTGTGTTATGGTGAAAAACACCCCCTACTGTGTCTGGAGGACATGATTTAATTTAGATTATTTCAGTAGTAAGCTAGTGGAAGCAGTGGTTGGGAGGGAAGAAATAGCACATTGCCATAGGGGCTCTCATTTTTATGTCCAAACCCCAAAAACCCCAAAAAGAGAGATATAGAAAGAAATTCCTTGTAGACAATAAGAATAATTAAGCAAACCACATTGGTCTTATCCTGAAATTAATTTGATTGATTCTTTCCATTTAGTGTTCATACAATTTGTAGTTGATATATAGATGAAGCTTATCAAAAAGTTGGATTAATGAAATATAATACTAGAATGCAGTAGGTTTGACAGGTGATTGGCGGGGTGGGTGGGTGGGTGCCAGGTGGAAAAGCACTTTGAGAAAACTAATTGGCATGTTAATAAAGTCTGATGTGATATGCCATGTTCTGCACACCCATATTTCCTCACCTCTACCAGGAAGGGAAGTATGTTTTCTTGATCATTTTGATTATACGAATTACACAGCATTCAGTCTCAATTTTTTTTTGTTCTTTTCATTGAATACATTGTTATTATTCTTGTGTGTTTGTTTTGATTGTTTTGTTTGCTTCATTAATTCTGCTTCAGTTCATGTCATTCTTCCCTTGCTTCTCTGAATTCTCCAGATTCATAGTTTCTTTTGGTTCAGCAATATTGTGCTGCATTCATATATCACAATTTGTTTAGCCATTTTCTGATTGATAGCCCATCTATTTTGTTTCCAGTTCATTGCTGCTATGCATATTATGGGATATATCTTTCTGGCTTTGACTTTCTTGGAATATATACCTAACTGTGGAATCTCTAAGTGAAGGGGTATGGAACATTTTAGTTCTATGTTTAGCTATAATTCCAAATTAGCCTGTTGGATTATATTAACTCCTGCATACAACAGGACTGAGAAGAAGAATGGAAAAGAGTTTGATAAACTCTTTGAATTACATTAAGCCCATTTTAGAAAACTTTTTTTAAAAATTCAAGCATGGGCATAAATATAGTAGAATCCATTATAGTGATAATGTTCCCCAATAACAATAAGCCTGTTATTTTAAGTGTTAGGAAAGAAACACCACCTACTGTGTCTGGAGGATGTGATTTAATTCAGATTATTTAATCAGAAAGCTAGTGGAAGCAGTGGCTGGGAAGAAAGAAATTGCACATTGCCATAGGGACTTTGCTCATATCCTAATGTCCAAACCCAAATTAGGATAAAAAGGTTTGTGGGTTTTGTTTTTGTTTTTTTTGTTTTGTTTTTTTAAACTTCCTAGAATGTATATGCTTTAGGGAAACCCGGCTTCCCTTGCCTTTCAGTACCTTTAGACCAAGTATAGTTATGCTGTGCCCAGGCGACTGATCGACTGGTCAGTGTGCGTGTTTTACAAGTTGAGTGAATACCTATTTGTTTGTTTTTTTGTTTTGTTTGTGTTTTTGTTTTTATTTTTTCTTTTTGGCTAGGCAGTGGGGTTAAGTGACTTGCCCAGGATTACACAGCTAGTTAAATATCAAGTGTCTGAGGTCACATTTGAACACTGGTCCTCCTGACTCCAAGGCTGGTGCTCTTTCCACTGCGCCACCTAGCTGCCCCAAGGTTTTCTGTTTGTTTCTTTCTTTGAGTGAATATGTAACAAAATGAGTAAGCAAAGTAATTGTCTTTCTAAAACCTTTAGATTAGCAAAATTGTTGGATTCTATGTGCCATAGGTCAGGGGCGATGAAGGAAAAGAAGAGTGATTGTTGTTGGTTTTTTAAATGATCTCCCTCAGTGTCTCTTTTCAGTTGAATGGGTCATTTTAAGTACTGCCAATGTCATCCTTGCTTATAGAGCTAGGGATTGGAACACCATAATTTGAATTTCAAAGGAAAATCTTTCTTCTCCCAACAGATAAGTTCTAAATTAGAAGCAATTGCCAGCCAAATTTAGCAGGCATATGAAGCTTTAGATCCCTGAGTGGTCGTATTTTATTTATGTAAGTCAAAAATGTCTGCCTAGATTCTTAGGAGTGTGCCAAATTTTAGCCTATGGGGATCTTTTTCTGCTGCCTGGGAAACTTTCCTTCGAATAAAAGGATCATTGTCCATCTTAATCCCAGTGATGCTGCTTCACTATAGAGGTATCAACCATCAGAGCTGTTGCTGAAAATGTTGCCTACATAGGTAGCATGCTTCATCTCTTCATTTCGTCAGTCTTCTGGAATCGTAGTTGATCAGAGACAGAGAGGTGATAGTTTCAATATACAGAATGAGATATATGTTATTTGATGTGGCCGACATGGAAATTTGTTTTGCTTAACTATGTATATTTGTTACAAGGAGCTTGCTTTTCATTTTTTCCAACCCCTCCTATAAGAGTTTGGGAAATAGCAGGGAGAGAACATAAATCCTTCTTAATTGAAAGAAGGAAAAAAAAATGAAATTAAACAACAAAATACTACCTAGATCAGTTGTGGCAAAAACTTTGTCCTTAAGTCCTTACTTTATTCCTCAAGATCCAGCTCAAACTTGTTGGAGTGGAGTGATTTAGTAGCAACATGGCTTTTCTCATTCTTTCTTTCCCTTGGCACAGTCACTACTGTGCATGGTCAGGTAGGTAATCTGGATCAGTGGTCAGTTGACTAGGATCCCTGCCATCCCTCATGATTGAGTTCAATTCATCCTGAGGATTTCATCTGTATTTGATCTGTCTAAACTGATTATTACCAGTATGATGTTTGTTTTCACTTTACATTTAATCCTTTCTTTGGGCTTATTTTTCTGTTACAGGTTCCTGTTATGCCCTAACATACAATACAAATATTGATCAAGACAATACTGTTGCCCTGTTACCCAATGGTAATATTCCTTTTATTTCTAAAAACACCAGACTATTGAGTATGGCTTACTTTATTTTAGTTCAAAGAAAACCTATTTATATTTATAGTATGCTTCTCATGGAAATCATGGTTTGATGTATAGGAAAACTAATTTTGTCCCTGGACAAGGATACTTATGAAGAAATTGGACTTCAAGGTCGCCCATCTCAATACTCTGGCAGAAAAGTCATGAGATACAGTTAAGTGTTTATACAAAATTCATTCCCATGTACAGAGGTTGGGGGGAATTCATATGGAATATTAAATATATTTTTAGATATAGTCAATGCATTAGTTTTGCTGAAATGTCTTTTTTCCTATCCTTTTTTATATCTTTGATAGAAGGGTGGCTTGAAGAGTAGAGAGAGAGGAGAGGGATATATTTGGAAATGTATGGGATGTGAGAAAAAAAGACATCAACCAATAAGTAAAGATTCCATTATTTTTTAACAATCAGAAGTGATCTTATATAGGCTTAAATAGAAATCTTTGTGTCAATCCTCTTCTTTTGTTTCAGGAAGATGAGGATTTATTTTAAGTGTTTTTGCCTCAAAATTCCCAACTTAAGTAGACATAGTTGGCCTATAGGTTTTAAATCCAACAACAAAAAGCAATGAATGGTGATATTCTAAATCTTATCAATTAAGATATTTGTAAAGCACTCTGCAAATCTTAAAACTATATAAATGCTGGCTATTATTTTATTGTTATCAGTATTTCTTAACTTTTTCCTTTTGAGGAGCTATTTTGGAATTCCCTCAGTTTTAGGAAGGGGAGTAAAGTTGCTGACTTGGGCAGTTGGGTGAGAGGGTTGCTGCCAGGCTGCCCTCCCCACTTGGAATCTTTGTGAGTTGTATGAAAGTTGGGCATAGAGATAGCAAGAGCCTTGGAGATCAGTTGGAAAAAAACTATACCAATAGAATGTGATTAATCTGTTGGAAACTGTTGTTGCCTAAGCACAGAATGAAGGAAAAAATGTGTTTCCTTGTTTTCAGCAATGTTAGAAATATGGTTTCTCAAGAAATTTTGCTTTTGTAGACAAAAGGAACTCAAAAAAATAATTTTGCTAGGTTTTAGAAAACTCTGCTGGCAAGTAGGTAAAATGATAAAGCTTTTTTAAAAACTTTTTTAGCATGAAATTTCTTTGTGGTATAAGTTACGTGAGATAAATAATATGTTGTGTTCTGTTTTTTCTTTTTTAACTTTTCAAGTTGTTACCCTTGATTTGATGGATTCGTCTTTCAGTCCTGAGTCCAAGAAGTATAAAAGAGCATCATGGGCCTTGAATGAAAAGAAACCACTGAAATTCAATTTCCTTCTGGCTTGGCATCATGAAGGTATTGGGAATTCATTGTGTGATGATATCGTGAAGTTGAAATTCAGCTGATAAATTGAAGGGAGTCAGCCAAACATTGAACATTGAAAGTTCAGTTCTGTGGCGGGGGTGGGGTTATAAAACAAATTAGTCAGGAAAGACAAGCCACGTTGGCTTTGCCACAGCTCTGCATCCGTGGTCAGGAGCAGAAATGCTCCCATTGCACAGATACTATTGCTACTTATTTATTATAGTTAAGAGCTTATGCTGCCCATATGCTGTTCAGTATGACTTTGTGTAGGCTAGGCATTTGGATAGTTATGGCTGATACGTTTCTTAAACTGTGGTCAGTATCATATTGTGGAATACTCAAGTAATTCTTTTAGTCATTGGATAGGAAGCAATGGTTCTTACTCTGTTTCTGCCTTGCATGTCTGATGGCGTAAAATATTCCAATCTGCAGCCAGTCTTTGCTCCTGGAAGGCTCTTTACGTTCCTGTTCATTGAATCATGGAGTCAGATCACTGCAAGAAATTTCCCTTTCCTCATCCTGGTTAAAAAACAGCAGTGCCTGACCTTTGGAAAGAGGGAAGGGGTGGCATCAGCCTGACAGGTAGACAAAGCTGCTTTGATAGGTTCCTGCTTCCCATTTCCTAACACTCCTTTTGTTGTGTTGTCATTGGGTTGTCCAAAGAACCCTGGGCTTTACCACTTACCTTCCTATTCATTATATGCCACGTGCTATACAAAGTACTTTTTCCCTTCCAGAAGTGAATCTCATTGGTGTGTCTCAGCTAGGAAAGCATTCTAATTAAGTGAATCTCAATACAATATCAATTAAGTGAATCGGAATACAATATCAATAACAGCCCCAGCCTTTCCCACTGTCCTCCCAGTGTCATTCTAAGGAATTTCTAATGGGAGGAATTTAAGATAATTATGTGGGGAGACATTTTTGGACCGGAAACTTTCCATAAATTTCATTGAGCAGACTACCTCCCTAAATGTAAAGCTGTCACTTAAAGATTGGAGGGAGGACCAGAAAAGGAACTCTCTTCATCCTGAGCCCTGTCCTTCTAGCTCCTCCAAAAGATTCCTGAGACTAAATGTACAGGACAGGTGAGATAAGGGAACTTCCTGCCTTCCCAACCAGGAATACCCAAGGTCCACAGATCTGGGAACAGTGGGAGGGACCCAGAGGTCATCCAGTCCAACCTGTACTTGGCAAGGATTCCTTCTACGACATCCCTGATAAATAGTTATCCCATTACTGCATGAAGGCATCTGGTGATGGAGAACTCACTGCCCTCCAAAACATTTCATTCCACTGCTGTATTGTTCACTCTTAGGACTTTCGTTTTCTTATTCCGAACTAGAATCTGTGTTTATAACTTCCACTTATTGCTAAATAGATTCTTCTTCCTGGGGCCAAGAAGCTTTGTTCTTGTTGCTTGATTGACCCTTTGAAGCAGTTTGGTCCAGAGACAATGAAGACTTCTGGATGTAGAGACGTAGGACTTGGGTTTGAATCTTGACTCTGCTACTTACTACCTTGGGCCTCAGTTTCCTCATGTAAGTTGAGGGGTTTAGGCCAGGTCTTTAAGGTTCCTTTTAGTTCTAAAGACTGCACTCCTCATATTCTTCTGCACTTCATCTCTGAGAAAACATTCTTACATGTTAGTATCCAGATGCTGATTTGATGTGATGTGCTCTGAAATGTTTAAGAGAGGGTGCTAATGAAAAATGAAGGTGGTCAGAAAGCCCTAAGGTGAGAACCATGGAAGTCCTGGAGAAGGGAACAGTGGGATACTAATCATTGTGGCCACAGTGCCAAGATATGGACAGTCCAGGCCCAGGGGCTCTGAGGTCCATAACTGTCTGTCTTGAGATGCTAAATCAGGCCCTAAAGATCCAGTGCACCAAACCTCAGAGATCGGGGAGGTGGGAGGAGATGGTTCTACCCCTAGGGAGGTGGAAGTGGTCAGCTTAGGAACCGCAGGGACCCAGGAGAGACCAAGCAGGGTCAGAAGTACAGCTGGGGGAGGGGGTAAAGCCTGGCCCTTGCACAAAACCTTAATTCAAGAGCTGCAGCTGGACAGATGAGTAAATCAAGTAAGGCACTGACCAGTATCAAAAATTATTGCACATTTAGAGAAGAAGGAACAGATAAGTTTGTAACAATAGTAAGCAAAGACTCAAAGGAAAAAATCTATTTTCTCCAAGGAACACATGAATGCCTAAAATAAACAAAACAAAAATGAAATAAAAGCTCTGGAGGAAAGAATTGAAAAGAGAAAAAGTTGCTTAGAATAGAAACTTGGCAAACCTTACCCTGGTAATGGACTTCCTGAAAACTGCAACAGACACAGAGTCAATATGAGGAAGCATGTCCTGATAGAGAGGTGATGGGCTGAAGCTGCAGAAAAAGACATTATACATATTTGCTTAGGGCCACCATGTGGATTCATTTTGTTTGATTGTGCTTAGTTGTTATGAGGATTTTTTTTTTATTTTTTAATTGAAAGGTTAACTATGGTGATACCCAAGAAAGCAGGAGTAGAGGAGGCATTTTTTAAAGTACAGGACAGAACAGAAGGAAATTCAGAAGGAAGTACAGATAAGCAGGACAGTTCTGAAAGTCATGTGGAATTTATTTCCTTTTTTTTTTTTTTGGTAAAAAGCAAGTGGTATGAAATAATGATTCATAGTTTTATTACGACCTTTGTATTCCGTGTGTATAGGAATGCTCATTTTTGTGTTTAAGTTCAGAATAAAAATATAAAAATTTTTAAAACTTAAAATTCTCATACACTATGCTATGCTGCCTCTATTGGAGACCTTGTATATAGTACTTGCTTAATAAATATTTGTTGAATTATGGTCCGCTTAGTCTTTGATTTTCAAGGCCATTTGTTTGAGTAAGGACTTCAGTTTTTATTAGAACCAGCCGTAAAACCTGGTTTCCTATTTTAAAGTGTAAGACTTATGGAATGAAAACACTTTAATGTGACCTCTCTTCTAATCAAGCTCTTAGACGCTGTGTTCCAAACAGAAGGCTCTCATGTGCTGATTATACTCATCCAGTCCCCTCAGAATTCCTAGTTTGTTTGGGGGCCTACAGGGAATGGCATGTTTTTTGCATGTTTTCAAACATGATTTTGGAACTATGGGGTAAAGACAAGAAGATAGGAAAAACTCCCATCCCTAACTTGGCATGCATTCTCCTAGCTCATCAAAAGTGTGCTGGTCCAGTGTGAAAATGATGCTGACTGACCTGTGGTCCAGGACTGTTCAGTCTTATTCTGCTGAACAGCCCTTTCACTTTACCCATCCACTGAGGCTCTTATTTTTAGGTACTTGGGGGTGCGGAGGCAAGCTATTATTTCCAAAACTAAGTTATGTATAGCTCAATGACTATCCAGGGTTACTGATTTTAAATGCCGGCTTACATGGGAAAAAAAAAGCCTCATCATTTGTGTTCCATCTCTTTGTTTTCTTTACAGATAACCTTGAGACCTATCTCTTTCTATGACAGTGTTCTGTGTGTGAATTATGAATTTTATTTCACTCAATCAAAATTCCTATATTAAGCACATAATTGGCTTATCCAGCTTGGCACATAACATCAGCTGGATTTAAAACTATGCTTCATTTCCAGGGAAAATGGGAAGGAAAAAGAACAGTGAGCAGGACCATAATGGTTTTGAATATAGGCCTCATTATAGCTCTCAGACTTTCTCTTCAAACCTTTTCTACATCATTCAAAGGCACCAAGAGGAGTGTTTCAATGGGTTGTTATTGTACTGAGTGAATTTAAATTTAGATTTTTCTAAACAATGGTATGTGGTGTGTTTAAGGTGCAGAAGAGTCAACAGTGATGTCATACTTTTCCAAATACCAAATTCAGGAGCATCAGCCAAAAATAGCATTGAGCACAATACGAGATCTTCAGTGTCCATTGCTACAGAGTGGAGAACTTGAAGGAAAGCCTGAAGAGTCGTGCAGTGCACCGGAACTCTTTGACTGGCTTGGTGCTGTCTTCAGTAATGTGGAATTGTAGGTATCAAGGATGTCTGTGATCTTATGTGGGACCAGCTCTTAAAAAACCAAAATGAAACAAAGCTGTTCTTATTCCACAGAATGATTGTGTAGCAGATGCCAATGTATGGTTTATGTCTCTCTTCTCTCTCTCTCTTTTTTTTTTTTTTTGATTTTGTGGCAGAAATAATCAGTCATTCAGTTTTGTATCAACCTATTGCTGTCCTCAGCCAAGTATTTTGGTGGAAAAAGCTTATTTGTGCACAATCACTGGCTTCATAGTCTCTGAGAAGATATGCCTGTTACTGGAACAGCTGTGGTGAGAAAAGTGTTATTTGTCTGTCTATGCAGATGTGTTGTTTTAATGATCTCTTCTGGACCTTAAATCTTATTGCTTAGAATTGGGGAGTTCCTTCACAAATGCCTTGCTTTCCTTCTTAGTCTCTTGGGATAGTAGTGTTGTCATCTTAAGTGGTATTCTAGAATGATTATTAGGAATAACTGATGAAATAGCTTGTTTCTTTTTGGAAAAGAAAGCATAAAAAATGTTTGTTGGAAGCAAAGTGTTAGTTTTTTTTTTAAGTAAATTTATTTTTTTGACTCATCCATTTGCTGCTGGCTGTTTACCCTAAACTGATAAGCTCAATATTCCAATGTATTTTACTCTGCCATAGTATGGAATTCTTTGTCAAAATAATTACTCATTTGATATTAATGGAGATGAAAATTCTTTGCGTGCCTACCATATTAGATACCATATGTAACATACTCATTGTTATTTCAGATAATATTAGTAGACTCAGATAACTTGTTATTAGCATTATCCATTCATTAAGCACTTATTCAATGCCTACTCTGTGCTATAGTTGTGCTAGGCACTGGGGTTGCAAGGCTGAATAAAGCAGTCTCTGCTATCTGGAGTTCATAACAAAGAGGAGACTTGTTAACTAGTTACCAGTTCAATCTGGTAAGTTTACTTCAGCTTAGTTTTTATGTATCAAGACAGATTCCCATAATCTTTTTTTTTTTAACTTTAAACATTTATGGAGTTTGTCTTTTGTTTTTCACTCCAGCATAATTTCTGTTCTCTCCCTCATGTTAGCATAGTGCTTTAATTCCCTATAATAGAATTGTGGAAACACTTGAAGGAGGAGTGATGCCTTCTCATTGTTCCAATTAAAGAAGTCTGTGCAAACATAGCAACAGTGAAGTCTGAATGCCAAGGGAGGGAAATGATTACTGTGCACTTTACAGATGGCTCATTGGTAAATGAATTTCTGGCTGAATAGGGTAACAATTGGAGTATGTTTTATGTGTATTAAATCCATTTACGTTTGTTATATTTACAGAAGGCAGCAGGAGTTTAATGAGCATCTTCTTAGTGCTGTAATCTGAAGTTAACATTTGACATCTTTGATTAGAACATCACCAAACTCAACTGGTTATTCTGCATGAGCAAACGGGATTTTTCAAAAGTTCTTATTCCTTCTTTATCCCTACTTAACTAAAGCATTTTATTTTCCTTTCTCTCTTTTAGTCACTATTTTGATGACCCAAAGTTAACTCCTTGGGTCACCTTGTCTGTCCAGGGCTTTGCAGACAGCCCTGTGTCTTGGAGAGAAAATGAGCATGGATTTCGAAAAGGGGGAGAACACTTGTACAACTTTGTTGTTTTCAGCAATCAGGACTACTGGCTTCAGATGGCTGTGGGGGCCAATGATGACTGTCCACCATGAGAATAAATAAAGCTGCCTGTGATTTTTTTTTCTTCTGATAGACTTTGGAAGCCTTCATTACAAGGAAGTTGCATATTTAGGATGTTTATATGGTATGATATTTTTTTTAATACGAAGACTAATGTTCTGTTTTGGGGTGTTGTTTGAATTTTTTTTCCACAACCTTTTTTAGCTCATTTCAAAGAGTTTTGGGATAACCTAATGGAGTGATTGCCAGTCACTTTGCATTTTTGTAAAAACTAATGCTAGTGTTGCTTATCTGCAGCTGCAAGGCAGGCCAGGCCAAGATTGGGAGCTGGTAGGCCAAGGGCTGTGTAGGACAATGAACCAACAAAGCCCTGCAGCTTGGAGAGGACCATCTCTGTGGTTTGTATGAAAAGAGTAACTTAAAGGATGGACTGAATACTGAGCCCTCAAGTGTCAGGCAATTAAGAGTAAGCAGGAACATGGCAGATTCTGAGGGAGTGGGCCAGGGTCAGCATCCAAGAATTTGTATTTAACTGGAGGGAGCAGACAAGAAGCACTAATGAGAAGATCTACTTTGGACACACTGTACAGTTGTGATTGATGATCCAGTGATCAAGGTGAATTCCCTTTTGATTTGGTTCAAAATGACCCATTGGGTGTGAGTTGGCAGATAGTCGCTAAATCTAGAGATGAGGTTTTTTCTGCAGCTTCCAAGGTAGTCGGTATTGATTACATCAGAAAGACTAGATTCATCTAACACAGTAGTTCTTAACCCAGGGTCCATGATTTTGTTTTCAAAAAGAATATTTTGATAACAGTATTTCAGTATAACTGGTTTCCTTTGTAAACATGCATTTTTAATAGTATTTTATCTTTTTCCCAATTGCATGTGAAGACAATTTGTAGCATTCATTTTTGCAAGATTTTGAGTTCCAATTTTTTCTCCCTCTCCCCTTCCTAAAATGGTAGGCAGTTTAATAGAGGTTATGCATGTGCTATCATGTAAAACCTATTTCTATATTAGTCACAGCTGTGAAAAGAGAAGCAGATCAAAAGGGAAAAAACCACGAAAAAGAATAAAATAAGTAAAAAAAGTATGCCTTGATCTGCATGCCCATCAGTTCTTTATCTGGATGTGGACAGCATTTTCCTTCATGAGTCCTTTGTACTTGTCTTGGATCATTGTGTTGCTGAGAAGAGCTGAATCATTCGTAGTTGATCATCGCACAATGTTGCTGATACTGTGTATAATGTTTTCCTGATTCTGCTTATTTCACTTTGCATCAGTCCATACAGGTCTTTCCAGGTTATTCTGAAGTCTGCTTGCTCATCATTTCTTATAGCACCATAGTATTCCATTACATTCCTATACCACAGCTTGTTCAGCCATTCCCTAATTGATGACCTCAATTTCCAATATTTTAGCACCACAAAAAGGGTTGCTATAAATATTTTTGCACATGTAAGTCGTTTTCCCTTTTTGTGATCTCTTTGGGATACAGACCTCGTAATGGTATTGCTGGATAAAAGGCTATGCACTTGGTTCCCCTTTGGGCATTGTTCCAAATTGCTTTCTAGATTGGTTGAATCAGTTCACAACTCCCCCAATAGTGCATTAGTGTCCCAGTTTTCCCACATTCTCTCTGACATTTATCATTTTCCTCTTTGTTATATTAGCCAGTCTGACAGGTGTGTCGTGGTATCTCAGAATTATTTTAATTTGCATTTCTCTAATCAATAGAGATTTAGAGCATCTTTTTCATATGATTATAGATAGCTTTAATTTCTTCATCTGAAAACTGCCAGTTCATATCCTTTGACCATTTATCAATTGGGGAATGACTTGTATTATTATAAATTTGACTCAGTTTTTTATGTATCTGAGAAATGAGGCCTTTATCAGAGATACATGCTGTAAAGATTGTTTCCCAGCTTTCGCTTTCCTTCTAATCTTGGTTGCATTAGTTTTGTTTGTATAAAAGCTTTTTAATTTAATATAATCAAAATCATCTATTTTACATTTTGTAATACTTTCTATCTCTTGTTTGATCATGAACCTGTAACTCACTTAACTTCTTCTTTAAGAATTTGGATGCTATACCACTTGGTGCATATGTGTTTAGTATTGATATTACTTCTTTGTCCATGGCACCTTTTAGGAAGATGTAGTTTCCTTCCTTATCTCTTTTATTTAGTTCTATTTTTGCTTTTGCCTCTTCTAAGATCAGGATCGCTAGCCCCGCTTTTTTTTATTTCTCCTAAAGCTCAATAGGTTCAGCTCCAGCCCTCTTACCTTTACTCTATATCTCTCTGCTTCAAGTGTATTTCTTGTAAACAGCATATTGTAGAATTCTAGTTTTTGATACATTCTGCTATCCGCTTCCATTTTATGGGAGAGTTCATCCCATTCACATTCACAGTTATGATTACTGTGTATTTTCCTCCACCCTGTTTTTCCCTCCTGTTTGTCATCTCTCTCCTTTCACCCTTTCCCTCCTTGAAAGTGTTTTGCTTCTGTCTACTGCCTCCCTGGGTCTGTTCTCTCTTCTGTCAGTCTTCCCTCCACATTTTTTGCATTTAAAAACATTTTTCTGAGAAAGGGTCCATAGGTTTCACTAAACTGCCAAAGGGGTACATGATACACAAAGGTTATAAACCACTGATCTCACATTTAAACCTTTCTTCCAGTTTCTAATAAAGCAAGTATGTGTGCTATCCAAATGTACTCTAATTTAAAGGAAGTTGGGACCAGAGTTCGGTTGGTATCCTAGGATTACATATTTAAAGCTGGGCATCTCCTTAGAAATCATCTTAACCACCCCCTGGTTTTAATGCAAAGGAAAGTGAGGGTCAGAAAGGGTAAATGACTTCCTCAGAGTTAAACAGATAATATGTCAGAGCTGAGATACCAGTCCAAGTACCATGACTGTAAATTTAGACCTCTTTACAGGGTAGTGCAGGCTGTAAGGTTCACTTTGTTTAAAGCTGTAGATTTACCATGGCTCCTGTGAATTTTGATTTAAGTGTATCTTGTCTTTTGTAGTAAGTGTGTTCTTGAAACATATCTGTGTAAATTAAATGATTTTAAATCAAATTCTGTTTTTTCATTGACTTATACTTTGAGGTGCTTTCATCTTCATTTTTGATAACTGGTTTCCATTGTCTCTGACGTTCTTTCTTCTCCTTTCCCCCATCCTCTGTCTCTTTGTGGCCTGTAAGACACCATCACCAACTCTGGGTATTTTCACCTACTGTTCTACATGCTTGGAAAACTCTTACCTCCTCATCTCCAACTATTCCCTTCTCTGGCTTTCTTTAAGTTCCAACTAAAATCTTACCTTCCTCAGCAAGTCTGTTTTGTTCCCCCATAAATGCCTTCCCTCCGTTGATTATTTCCTATTTATCCTGTATGTAACTTGTTTGTATGTAATTGTTTACATATTATCTCTTCCATTAGACTGAGCTCCTAGAGAAAAGAGACTTCTGGTTTTTTTGCCTTTGTATCACCAGTACTTTGCACAGTGCCTAGCACATAGTAGGCACCTAGTTAATGTTTACTGACTGATTGTAATGCTGTATCCCAAGTAGGTACATATTTGGTCCAAGAGAGACAATTTTTAGGGATTTAGTCCTTATGTTCATCTCCACAAAGTGCTGCTCTGATGCCTCTTTGTGGAATGGAGGTGACCTTGGATTCTTAAAGGTTGTGACAGCAGAACACAAGCTTCTTCTGCCATGCTTGAAAAGCTTCAAGCAGAGTCATGGCAACAGATTGAGTTTGTTCTCTAATGACGAGTTTAGCTAAGTATAGATAGGCCCATCACCAGTTGGCTGGCCACTGGGTGATTAATTCTTTAGCCTTGGCAACCCATGAAGCAAAGAAAGATATAAATGGCCTCCAGCCCTTTTTGGTCCACTTTGCTTCTCCAGAGACACGGGGACAGAATATCATAATATCAAGGCAGAGAGTGTTAAACATCATACCATAGACCATCTATAAACATTAATGTTGCTATTGATAGTTTAATTGGAGAGCCTTATCCAATGACCAATGGAGAAGGAAAAACTGGTGGAACTGAATTACATCAATATTGATATTTTCTCTATAAATGAAATAAAGAAAAAAAGGAAATTGCAGCTAATGGGATGGATGGTTCACAGGTCATCAGAGAGGCAAAGAAAGGAACTGGCAGCAACTCCAAAAGACTCATGATGGAAAATGCTATCCACATCCAGAAAACAACTATGGAGTCTCAATGCAGATTGAAGTATACTATTTGCTCTCTTTTTTTTTTCTTCTTTCTTGTGGTTCCTCCCATTGGTTCTAATTCTTCTTTTCAACATGACTAATATGAAAATATGTTTAATATGAATGTATATATAGAGCCTCTATCAGACTGCATGCCCTCTTGGGGAGAGAGGAGGGAGGGGGAGAAAATTTAGGACTCAGTCTTATGGTTGAAAACTAAAAATAAAAAATTTTTTTTAAAAGAAAGGAACTGGAAGATTTGTTTTTATTGCTTGTCCAAATGTAGCAAGTAGCATCATTACGTGAGATACTTGGTCTTCTGGTATGATAAGCATTTGTAAAAAACAAAAAAGAAGGGCAGCTAGGTGGCGCAGTGGAGAGAGCACCGGCCCTAGATTCAGGAGGACCTGAGTTCAAACCCGGCCTCAGACACATAATACTTAATAACTGTGTGACCCTGGGCAAGTCACTTAACCCCCATTGCCCAACCAAAAAACAAACCAAAAACAGAACTCAAAGATTATTATAGCTATATATCAATACCTATTTCATAGGATGAGGAAGTAGTGTGGTATAGTAGAAACTAGAGCACTGACTTTAAAATTAAAAGACCTCAATTCAAATCCCATCTCTGATGATGACTATCCATGTGACCTTGCCAGGTCCCTCTCCCTCAGTTTTCTCAACACTAAAATGAAAGTGTTGCATTAGATTACCTCTGAGATCATTTCCAGTTTTAGGTGTCTTATTCTACAATGTAGAGAAATTCTATTAAAGAAGTCCATAAAACACTCTAAATTAACATATGCTTTATT